TTCATTTAAGTTTTGTAGGATGTCTGTGTCTAATGGTCTCTTATTTTGACACATGAAGCTATAAAAAGACTTACTGGGGCTCTGGAGCATTTATTTTCTGCCTGGGTATTCTTTGCAGTGCTAAAATCTGATCATATGTTAATCCACCTTGTGAGCTTTTCTGAAATAATCTAACCCAGTTGGTTTTGACCTTTTTCAATTTGCAAGCCTGTAAATGTTTTCCAGGTAGATTATGAACCCTGTCTGCACTTTGAATTTAAGATAATGGGTAATAGCATTGTTTTTCTTTGTTACTTTTCAGGGATTGCTTGGAAATGGTCCCTTTGGAGTGGTTGCAGGCCAGAGGTTCAAAACCACATGTAATTTTATGGCCAAAGTCTCAACTAGAGTAACTTGGCATAATTTTGCTGATTTCAAAGGAAAAATCCTTTGATAGCATCAGTTAGAATAATGGTTAGTTTATTGTACATTAGCTGAGGAACTTCCCCTGGCTTTAGTCCTCCTCTTAGATTTCACTGTGAATAAGATTGAACTCCACTTCAATGTAATTATATCTCCTTTGGGAAATATTCCTTACTTACTACCCAGACTAGAACACATCAAAGAGCCCAAGAGGAATCTTAAAAAAAAATTTACATGGGAAATCTCATCAGAAAATTCTTAAAATTTTATTTTATACTTAGTCTCAGATGTATCCTATATATCTAATTTTTAAGATGGCTCTTCAGTCTGATAGTATCTTTTATCTCAGTGGCACAGTATAACACATGCACAACTCTAATAAAAGTTATAGAGTTAATAACATAAATTTACTTGGCTTCTGTGATCAAACAGTTCTACTGTTAAACTCTTGAGCAAGGTATCAATGTCTTTGAATAGAGTTATGCTGATTTACACCACTTGATCATATGCCCAATTATATGTTTAAGGTTCTTCAGGAGTGAACGCAAAGGAAATAATGTTCCTCTTTCTTCTGGAAAAGAAACGCTCAAATAGAGAGGTAGATATTAAGAAAAGTAGCAAGCAGGTCTGAAATGTTAGTAAGTGGATAACTTTTCTGAAGATATTTACATCTAAAAGACAAAAAATATCTGAAAAATTAGAGAAAAATTTAAAATTGTCTTTTATGCTGTTACTCACTTTGGCCTAGCTCACTTTGCAGCTCCATCACATGACAATGAATAACTAAAGAAAACTATTATTATGCAAACCACTCCAGCACAAAAGGGTATTACATATCTCATACAAAAGGGGATTTCTTTAAAAAGCACAGCACATTCAGTGTTTAGGGTTTGCAGTTGAAATTCATGGCCTCGCTTGCCAATATTATCATGCAGCTGGGTATTATGCTATTGCTTTACTCTGAGGGGAAAAAAATCACAATAAACATATTCAAATGGCTTCGTATTAAACTGTTGTATTCTTTTATGTTGCAATATCAGTTTTAATGATTTTTGGCATCTCTTCTCTAGCAAAAAGGCCACAATAAAGACTAGCCACAGAGAATTTGATTGCAAACAGAAAATGTCAAAATGATGCTTTTGATTTAAAAAAACTTCACTGGAAAATGGTTGTTAGGCATTATTTCAGTGTTGAGAACTATAGGATTAATAATAATTTTTCTCTTATTTAAAAGCTATGAGACAGAAGTCCATCTCTCTGTAGAGAAAGCTTCTGACAGAATCTCCTCTATTTGTTCTGTAAAACAGGGGTTTATTATTTTAATTTTAATTCAAATTAATTTTTTATCTTTCTATAAATTCCTGTTTAAATAAAAACAAAATCAGTTGACCCAAAACAGTCCTGATCAGTAAAATATTAAATGTAGTTTCAGAAATCTTTAAACATATCTTTTTAAGAGTCAGGTATTATTATCCCCATTTTATTGAAGGGAAGAGTTGTTTACAGATACTTGAAGGAGTTCAAGGTGTGAAGCAGATCTTTGCACTGCCACAGCTACTGTAACACCATGTGGAAAGTTTGCGCTGCTCCAATGATTTTGATGCCTGATAAATTTTCTTTGCTCTAAGAGTATTAGGAGATGAGCCATCCTGGCAGTTTTGTTTATTGGCTTTAGTGGAATGTAAGAGTATATATCTGTCCACAGTGGCTCAGAATCCTCCTGAGGAAATGCTGGTTTGCTAAGCTTTGTTGCTCTACTTTCACTGTGCCATTTATGGGATTAGGAGAGCAGGAATTTTGTCCAAGAGGGGAACCAGTTGGAAAGCTGTGTTTCCATTCAGAGGGGAATTCTGACACACTGAAATGTGTTTTCTTTCACTGAGGAAAAAGTCTGAATCGTCATAACTTACAATAACAAAAGTGTATCCTAAACATTGAGTCTAAGCAACTGAAAGGATTCATTTGATTGTTCAAACGATATAATTCTGTGTGAACAGTGAAACTGCATACTTTGTGGTAGCCTGATATCACTTGTACCTGTACCAGTCTCTCAAAATTAACTTTCCTTTTGAATTCACAAAAGCATTTCATTACTTTAATACTGTTCTGAAAAAAGAAACAACATTGGAAAGTAAGGCTTGACTTTGTACTAGTGGCACTCAGACAAGTGGTACTACTGAGCACTTTGTACAAGTGGCACTTTTAGGAGCTCAGAGAAAATGTCTATAGGAGCATAATTGCCTCTTTTCTGTTTATGGATTACTGAGCCATCTCCAAAATATTTATCAAAAATCACTTTCAGGATTAGTATTTTTGTTATGATACAACATTTTCCTCCTCATGCTCAATATTCACAGTTCACTTTACTTAAATATTGTCCCATCCACATTTCATGAAGGAGGGATAGGAAGGAACAGACCTACTGTGCTTCCTCTGCCCTCGGCACCGCTTTGTGTGGGACAAGTTTTGAACATGTGACATTGGCAATGCTGTGCAGAACATCCTATTGGACTAGCTGGATAGTGCCCAGATACAAATCTTGTACAGATTCTAGTTTGTTCATGCTTCTATTTAAGTATGGTATGTTTTTTTCCTCATAGAAACTTTTAAATTTTTTTTAATTCTTGTTTTTTCTGGAATAATCAGAAAAATAATACAAAATTAAGAAAATGCACTAAAGGAGACATAATAATTGCTGGCTGTTATTAGTCAGTAATTGTAAGCCCACCCACACACATAAGCTCAATTGCTAGTAATTTACTTGCATGAATTCAATAGAAGAAGACAAATTTCAAAATACCTCAATCATTATTATTCTAATTGACACACGAATTTGTCTGTTGTCACTGCTTCCAAAAACTTAATTTTTCTTAAACTGTGAAGAGATAGAGTAGGATCCCATTACTTAGATTGATATGGAACCTTAAACCTAACAAAAACCCTGTAGCCAATACACAAAATAGTCTTCATTGCCTATGTTTTGCTTTCAGCCTCCCAAATGAGTTGCTCTGATTTACTTGTCTGTAGCAAAGCAGAGGATTTATTGCTCTGTTTTCAAGCATTCTTCAGTTCCAATGACAGGAAGCCATTCAGGCCCTATGTCAGAGTCTTGACCATTTGCAGAACTATCGTGTGATGACTTCCTAGGGAATTAAGTCACATGAGCTTAATGGCATTAGGAGTTCTCGATATCCCTGGTAGAAGCTGAGGAATGAGCTTCTCACGCTACACTGGAAGACTTGCACTTCTGCCTGATGCAGCCTCATGGTGAGGCTACATGCTCTGCTGCTTCCCTTTAAAACAGATCTGTCTGACATATATTTTTGCCTCAAAATACAATTCAAAAAACTTCTTCAGATCTTCTAGGCCATGTTACTAATACAATTGTTGTGTATTCTCTGTAAGTTCTGCTGACACGTGAGGGTCAAGTATTACAAAATAGTATTTGCAATTGCAGTAGCACAACCTAAAATTGACCATAAGCTTAAACCAGGGCAAATAAGTGAACTACGTGGTTTTTCCTTCACTTAAACCATCAGCATGGTTTTAAAACAGCATTATCTAAAAAAATAACAATGTTATTAATCACTTCTTACAAGACCTTTAGAGGTTCTCCCTTTTCCTGTTCATAAATCCTTAGTCTTTGCATTAAATTTTTCTCAGACAGGAAAACAGTAACAATTGATTTACATGGACAAAATCAGCTTTTCTCAGTTTTCAGTCCAGCTTCCTCTGAGATCTCATTGACCCACAAAGTTCAAATTCTTCCAAGCAAGTTTTCTTTGGGATTAATAGCCTTCAGCATCAAATCATTGAGTGCTATAGCCATTGCCAGTGCTATAAGTAAGGCTTCAGCATTTCCACATAAACTTATTTTCAGAGCTTTATAGCTTGGCTACAAAAATACAGTTTTATGCTGAAACTTGCTAAAAAAAGCTCAGTCTGGGAGAGATTTTAGTTTTTATTTTGAGAAATCTGCACAACTCTGTGGGTGTTTTCAGACTGAAATTCTGACCAAGACTGTGACTTGCTATCTACATTGTACTGGTCCCTTGGAGAAATCCTATCCTGGCTTTCTAAAAGTGCAGATCCACTTAGAATAAATTATGGAAAGGCAATCTAAAAGGGTGTTTTAAAAATGGTTATTCCATATGTTGAAGATTATCAAATTGGATCTAGTCACTGCATCTCTGAAAGACAGTCTAATCACTTGAACACTACAGTATTTTTCAGAAGATTTTAGCCAGTCAGCCTGACGTGAGGCCAAATGTGCTGCAGTAACAGAGGGGTCTGAAGGTTTCTGTTTGCATCTTCATATAGAGTAACTGAGGAGCCTGCTGGTCCTTCAGCAGCTGGAAATGCTGATGGATTGGGGGATGAAAACCTTGTATAGAGGAGACTGGAGAAAACCTGAAGTGAGGAGTTTGGGGAAACTTTGGCCTCCTGCCTCTTCAGGAGCCATGCTGTTGGCTGGGGATAACTGCCAGGAGGGACAGGTGAGGGAGGGGAGGAGGCAGACACCTTTTTCTCCAGCATCTTGAAACAAAGTGTTCACCATAATTAGAGATGCTTAGACCAAAATCAGCAGAAGTACTTACATGCTCTGTTTTGCACAAGCCCCTTCAGAAGAGATTCGGAGGCACCATCTGGAGAGAAAGATGACAAAGCGATGCCATAGGGTTTCCAGTTTCCTCTGTTGGTAATTCCTGTAAAGGGATGACTTGGTCCCGAGTCATTGCCACTGGAGATGAGAATACAAACATTACACAACATGCAAACATGTTCAAGGCTACAGGCTACAAAGATGAGTTGCTCATCTAAGATGGTGACCCAGTGCAATACAGTGGTTCCCATGACTACTTGTTCATTCCACAACAGAAATATGAACAAACCAGAGGCAATATCCTGCTCCCAACTCTCCCCAAATTGTTCACCAAAACTAAAAATGTCCCATCAGTCTTTCCACACAAGTACAGGACAATTTCTATTGCTTGTGTCCAGCAGCAAGACTACTATTTCACTTAGCTGATATAAATAGTATCTTATCAACCACTTGGCATATGAAGGAAAAGGCCAATACATCCTCTGGACTATCCCCTTATTTCAGACATGTCAGTGACTACCACTGTCACTCCTGCAATCCAGACTCATCATCCTTAAATTCATTCTGTGTTTTCAAGCAGAAATACATTGATGCCCAACAATAGCAAGACAACATCCTCTGAAGAATGAGGCACTGGTAACTATTCAGAATTGATGGTGACACATCTGAGTAGGAAATATCATCCTTCATATCTCTGGGAGGGCTCCATTTGGAGCTGATCCAGAAATCTCTTTTGGGAGTAGCTCATTATAACTAGGCAAATTCAGTCCAAAGTCTGAAACTTCCTTTTGAAGGCATAATGGCAGGGGAACCTCACAGACAGGATTAGAAGGAAAATAAGGAGGTAGCTTTGCAGATGTCTAAAGAAGCTCTTTCCAAATGTAAGGAATGGCATGGTATAAAGCTTCAAATTGAGTGACTGAAAATCTAAGAAGTAGATGGAGGAGGCTGGCATCATGGGCTAATCAGTGAAAGAAGTGATTTCTTGATCCTGAATGAGAGATGATAGGTAGGATGAGGTGAAGGCTTTGAAAGTGAAGACAAGCTGCTTATACCCGATAGAAGAAGGGTGTTACATTTGACAGTCAAAGTGACGGGCTAGGCAAATGATCTCTGCAGTGCTATGATGTATAGAACCATGCTGCAAAATTACATTTTTCAAAAGCAGAGGGATGGCTATTGAAGTAACCAAGAGAGCTTGGTGATTACATATATATATACATATTAATTTTTGCATAATAATAATCACTAAATTCTATAACTCAACTCCATAGTAAGTTCTATAACTCACTTCCATAAGATAATATTTAATGATTTTTTTGAGAGTTGTACTGAAGAATGTTGCATGGGAAAGTGGGCATTTTTTTTAATATTTCTAATAACATTGTTTTGTGCCAGCATTTTCATTGTAACATTCTTTTAAAATATCTAGTTTTATAAAAGAATAAACTACATACCTAACTAACAAATCCTTTTTACATGCACCTTTTTTTGGTTTTGGCTAAATCTTTTCATCTCAGTACAGTACCTGAGGTCATTCATTGCTCATATCCATGGCAATTATGTAATGTCTTAGCTGGTGGTCTGGGTTTATTTCTCTCTGGGCTCTGGTGTAGCAGGATAGAGGTTGTTCATTACAACTTGGAGACGACTCTGGAAAGTCAGTGTGCTGGATAACACAGACATCAAGTCGCTAAACACACCACACCTCCTAGACATACAGATTTAACAGCACTTCTCCACTTTGTTTGGAACAGTATTGCATAGTGGTTCTGGCTGTAATACATAAGAAATTAATTTTATTCCCTATTGTAGCATATCTTTCATTTCCCCCATGCAGAGACTGACTGCTGCACACACGTTCTTCCAGGGCAAGGCTTTTCCTATTAATAGATAACTTGGCTTCGCACGCCGAGATGAACGAACAAGGTTTCGGGTGCCTGCCTAATTTAAGCAGACCATATGTCATAAGCTATAGTATCCTGTTAGAAGGGAATAAAATAAAGCAAGATTGAGAGGAAAAATAGCTTCCTACCATTAACTGACCTCTCAGACTCAAATTTTCAAAGATGTTTATTTAAGCGTGCTAAGAATTATTTACTTATTCTGTGCATCACGTGAAGTTATGCATATTTCTAATGTATTCTTGATGGGGGGTGCTGTCCCAGAAAAAGAACTTCTGGGCATTACCACAAGACAAAAAATAACGTAGTGATCCTGATTTTTTTTTTTCCTGGAACTGCCTTCAAACTGTGGCCAGTTTCACATTTTTCTGCTTTGGCTTTCCAGTCTCTAAAAACTCTAATACAGTTGTTTACTGTTTATTTGGCGTCCTGTGAAGGTAGATATTGCAAACTTTCCTTTGCTAATGTTAAAATACACTGGTGGATGAATGTCTTTTAAAGCAAATTATATTAATTACTATTACTGTTCAACCAGCCCATCTCAGCTGCACAGTTCAAAGAAATGTGCTCTTTCAGACTCTTAGAGTGGTTATATAATCACCATTCCTCACAAATATTTGAATCATTAGAGCTAGCAATCATATTTTCCTGGCAAGTTGTCCACTGCTGGGTGCAAACAGAGCTAGAGAACTAAAAAATGTAAAAATCAGCATTTTCATATACTTCCTCCCACTCATCCCATGCATTTCTACTGTATTTTTTCCTTCTTTGCTTTGTCTTTCTCTAAATATCTCTAGAAAAGTACCATTGCCAGATCATTTCATTCAGGTTAGGTTATAGATAAGGCCGTGGTCAGCTGACAGGCATACCTGTTGCACTTTCTTTGTTTATTAGAATGTACCATTCCACACTTCCATTCCCCTCATGATCCAAATGGGCAGTCATGAGTTTGTGCTGGTATGAAAAATAGAAAAGGAAGACACGTCTTAGCTCTCCTAACTTACAATTTACTTGTTTTGTTTTTTTTTACACTACTTGTGACAAAAGCAGCAGAATGAAAGATTTACTGTGTCAAATGAAAGAGAAAAATGTTTGGAGGAAAATATTGGTTGAGACTGAAGAGAAATTTCGTGTGCATATTTTAACCAGTGATCACTTGGCTGCCTTATGAATCTGTGATGCTGACTATTGCCTGCAGTTCAGATACTCAAAAAGCAGAAATTAATAAAATCAAATAAATAAAAGCCCCACAGGGGGAGAAAAATATCTTTACAATCACTTATTCACATTTTCAAATACTATAGACACTCCTCATCTTTCTTTTCTACTTCATTTAGTTAGTAACGCAGACTGGAAGGTGATGTCTGAAGTGAAAAGAGACCAACAGCTATGGGACCAGGGAATCAGGCTGATTTTAATCAACAGCAAAAGTTTTGCAATACAAAGCTCTATGATGTGGCACACTGTCCTAGAGAAAACATTCCATGGCCCCAGCCCTAAAACCCCTTTGGTGCTTTATGCCTGTGGGAGATGTCCATGAGGACCAAACCCATGTCTGTGGGAACCCATGTCTAAGAGGAAGAAGAGAATTCAAAACATCACCTTTGACTGCAAATTAGACAGATCTGCCAATTCTTCTGTATTTCAAGGTAATACGTCACCCTACTGCAATCATCTGTGAATTTCTCATAATTTGGCTGTTTGGCAACCCACCAAAAGGTAGACCCACCCTATATTCCAGAGCAGAACTGAGGTTCGGAACTCTGATGCTTCTCAGGCACATATGTATAGGTTCATCTGCATCTGTGCCATGATTCCTGTGCATTTGGGCCACACCGTCCTTAGTTTTTGCAAAAGGGAAGCTAGATATTTCGGAATTCCAGTTTTAAAATGTCAAGAAATAGACTTTTATTGTTTTGTCTGTTACTTAGACTAGTAGAGATGTAATTTAAGGAACCATATTGGCACATGCCATTGGAGTCCAGCAAACAAGGGCCTGGAGTTGCACTGCTGAAATGCTTCAGTTTGCTCAATGCAAAAGAAAAACTGAAAAGTGAGGCTTTGACTGACTCTGTGCTCCCTTTGAAGAAAGAATTGTGATTGTTGGCAGAGGAAGGAAGGAACTAGGACAAAACAAGGGAAGGAAGAAGTTGTTTTTTATTTTCTGTCAGCCAGCTCCTTAATTTTTGCTGCCAATATTATAAGTCTAATTTACAAGATAAACATAAATCTATTTATATATTATTTAAAATTAAATTATAGAAAATGACATGGATTTTTAAAAAATCTTTCAGTATTCAGAGATGGGAAAATAAGGAAAATAAACATATGAGGCAAAGGTCATTTTGATGTCAACAGAAAATGGCCCCAGTCAGAAAGAAGAAACTCTCTGTTCATTTAATATATTTTTAACTCAGTACATGTTTAATTCATTTTTAATGTAATTTCTTTATACAGAGATATAGTCAGTGATCTAAAATACTTAGGTCTACAAGTTAGGTGTTTCAATCTCTAAATATTTAAATATCCCGAAAACTGTATCCTTGAAAATCAAGAGTGAAGGCCTTCCCCCCCGGTCCTTCTTCAGTAATTTATTTTGGATATAACTTGGGCCACAAGATGTCAAAATAGAAGAGTTATCCTGAGAAATTTGTTAGTTGCCCCTATTATTTAATGTAACATCTCAAGACTCATCATGATAGTAAAAGGGTTGATGTTATGAGCTAAGTTGTGAGGATCTTTTCTGCAGCAACATTTACCGTCCCAGCTATTCGGAAAATATTTTGAATATATCAATATAGTTTTCTAATGCCCAGCTGAAAGATATACATACTTGTTTAATTAATAAAAGAGAAATTAGACAGGGACACTCCACTACAAAACGTAAGCACTAAATTATAATTTGTTTCAAATATGACTTATGCAACCTTCTCAGAGGAAATGAAGGGAAAAAAATGTTTGCAAATATTAAAAAAATTGCATTATTTTTATGTTGTCACATTATAAGTTCAAGCCTCACCATGATGAAAAGCAAGAATTCAGGCTTTTGCATAAACAGCCTCTAAAGCAATAGAGACCTCTATGAGAGTCCAAGAATCACTTTTAACTGAAAATGGAAAGAATCCACTTCTGCAAAATCTGTCCTTCATACAATAACACTGCTAAAACAGGAACTTTACAAAAGGGCCATGGTGTGGAAACACAGCTGAAGAAATCTGTAGCAAATTAACTAGAGGTAGAAAACCAACAGTAAGGAGGCTATTTGACTCAGTTTCCATTGATGCAAAGTCTTACATTCACAGGAAGAATGACACCTTCTACTCATAATGTAAAAATTCAACCTTCCATCTTTTTACTACATACTTAGGATACTGATTCAAAAACAAATTTTCTCTGCCATTAAGGAACAAAGGTGGAGTAATGGGCCCATGCCTAGAAATATAATATGAAAAATTTGTGAAAATAAAAAGAGTGAACCTTAGAAAATGAAGCAATGCTTCAAAGAAAATAAAAATTGAAGCAGACCGATTTATGTCTTTAAAAATTTTGTAGTTTTCTTAGATTACATCCAACAAAATCACATATTCAATCAGATTTTGGAGCAAGCTGTAGATTTAATATTTGGGCTAAAAAATATGTGTGACTATGAATCTAATTCAAAAACTTACTTACTTAGATCATAAACATTAAGGTGGCCCGTTCTCATAACCAAAGTGCAAGTAGGAAAGAAATCATGTCAGTCATTGGAATCTTAGTTTCAGTTGCAGAATACCCTCAGTTACAATTTCTTGGAATAGGGACCGAGGGTACTGAGCTCTGCACAGAAATTAACTCCTAACCAAGACTAAGAAAACAGCACTGCAAACATCCAACAGGCTTTTCTGCAGTTTGACCCAATTTCCTAATGAAAATTGTCTTTATTTTAGGAACCTGGAAGTGATTATAATCATCAAACTTGTTTGAGTTTCTACACAGTAAAAAACTTTGCAGGCTATCTCTTCCTAATGGAAGATTAATGACAATAGATGTTTAGGGTAATGTTTTCCCTTTTACTCAATATGATAACTGCTTTTTATTTAGTTAGAAAAGCTGTGATGCTACTTCAGTGAGTAAGCTAAGCATGATTCTGAAGCAGGAATAAGCACTTATGCTTCCAGGGTGTTTCCTTCTAGATCCAAACAGAGAACAGTAATCTCACAAAGCAGAAAAGGACTAATGTCAGTATTTGGTTTATGGCCTCTCTGGACAAAGGTCAACTAACTGTGGGATCTGAGATTTAACCACAGCATATTTAATTTCTGGTGGGAAAGAAATAGCCTTCCACTTCCCCAATACATAAAGAACCTAACTGAACAATCCAGTTTCTCAAAATATTCCAGGGTGTCAAATCTGTAATGAAAATATTAAATGTTTTCTCTGATCCTTTTTGGGCAAGTATCTCATGTGAAGACAGTATTTGGCATGCCTTAAAAACTGTACAGCTCAAGAGCCAAAGGAAATAGGAAAGGCGGCAATATCTGAGAAACTTCCTACCCCTTTTCACCTTGTGGGACTTGGAATCCCATAGGATGCCATAAAAGCCATGTAATCTCTGGGGAAAACACTGTGAGGTGGAGAAAATAGTTATGCTTTTGAAATTTCCCTCAAAAAAAAGAAAAAGTTGCAATTTTTTATTATTACTTAGGGCCCATTAAATTTGAAATAATGCATTTTCAGACAATAGTGTTTCCCAGTTCTTCCATATCCATCAGGGAAATGTCCTACTTCTGTGCATCTGCCTTGATCGGCATTGTCAAATGGAAAACTTTTGCCCCAGTACAGTCTAAGAACTCAGTATCTGATAGGGAAAGACTTTGGAGCTAACATTCAAGTTTCAATTGTCTATCAGAGTTGATACTTGAATAAATATGTAAAACATAAGCCCCTACTTGGAAGAAACACCCTTTACCAGGAATCAGAATCTGTTATGCCTGTTGTATGTCTTTTTCTTTCCATCCCAAGCCCAGATTTGCATTTACCCTAAATCTGTCTAATGTCTGGTAGTGCCTCAATGCTCTCCTCTCTTGTTCTGAAAACATATTTGTGGAAGGCTGAATTAAACCCTTCCTTTCTGGTTATATGAGGTTTCATAAGTAACCTTCCTCTGCTGTACACAGACCTATGGGGGACAGTGAAAGGAGAGCAAATGCTCATGATGTGCAAGTCATTGGCAGCATTTTTTTCTTTTATTAATCTTTTAGTAGGAGAAAAACTTAATACATGTGTCACAGATCATTATATTTTAGTTTTTCAAAGTACTTGTCATTTAATGAATACTTGTTTAGGTCCAGTCAGGGACAGAGCCCTGATGAAATTTCAGTGCCACTATACCTCTTGATAGAAGCTGAGAACAAAGCCAGGTGTGGGTGGGTAAATTCATTCCTGTCTGGGGCACTGACTATGATCAAGAAAATGGGAATTATAGGGAGCATATAGAATCACAGTGTAACCAGCAGGGCCTGTGCTTCCACACACTGTTCTTTAGAAGCAGTACAGTAGCAGCACATTAAGGATATTTCACGAAATGAATACCCATCTAGACACATTTAAATACCTCCATAAATATGGTCTTGCAATACTTTGAAAAATAACTATTAGTCTAAATTTTCTTTAATTTTGTAAGCTACAGATGAGCTCACTGTTGTGACGTGTTGCCTCTGAATTCTCTTTTATCACTGACAATAGACCACAGGTATTAAACCCCATTGCTGTGTGCTCTGCAGGGGGCAGTCTGAGCAAAGCTTTTATTTTGTTTTCTAGCAGGAGAAAATGGGAAAAACTGTTTTGCCAAACCAACATGTAGAACATTAATGATCAATGTCCAAAATACTTTCAGTGCTGGTTAACTAGAATTATTTTAAAATTTGTCTAGTGGAGTATTCAGAATGAGTCATGTAGAAAT